TATGCAGGTCACTATGAACAGACTCCATGGCCCATAACCACCACTGCCACCATAATTTTTGCTTGGATTAACCATCAATGCTCATAGAAGCAGCAGTCAAAAAACAAACAACATATTGCATTGGGCAAATCTGTTCCACAAGACTTCTTTAAAGTGTTGACGAACAAAGATTTCAGTTTGATGACTAAGGTGCACCTGACGCAAGCTATGGTATTTTCAATAACCTCATATGCATGCGAAAGCTGGACAGTGAATAAGGAAGACCGTAGAAGAATTGATGCGTTTGAGTTATGGTGTTGAAGGAGAATATTGAAAGTGCCATGCACTGCCAAAAGAAGAAATAGATCTGTGTTGGAAAAAGTACAGCCAAAGTGCTCTTTGGAAGCCAGGATGGCCAGACTTCATCTTTCATATTTCGGACATATTGTCAGGAGGGACCAGTCACAGTGGAGAAGGATACCATGTTTTGGTAAAGTGGAGGGCTGGAGAAAAAGAGGAAGACCCACAACAAGAAGGATTGGCACAGTGGCAGCATCAATGGGTTCCAACATAGCAATGGTTGTGAGATTGGCCCAGGATTGGGCAGTGTTTTGTTCTTTTGTGCATAGGATCTCTCTGAGTAGGCACCGACTCAATGGTACCTAACAAATAACAAAATTTGTAGGTTCTTATTTGCCTACAAATTTGCCTAAAGACATACTTAGGAATCAATTTCATGTAACTCAGGGGGCTGCCTGTATTGACGGTAACCACTACAACTCAGTTGTTGTTGTTAAATGTTGTTAAGTTGGTTCTGACCCATAGCAACCCTATGCATAACAGAACAGCAAAACTTCCCCCTCCTGTACCATCCTCACAATTGCTGCTATATTTAAGTCCATTGTTGTTGCCACATTGTCAATCCAGCTTGTTGGGAGTCTTCCTCTTTTTCACTCACCTTCTACTTTACCAAACATGATATCCTTCTCCAGAGACAGGTCCCTCTTGACAGTATATCCAAAGTATGAGAGACAAAGTCTCTCATCTGAGAGACCCATCTTCACTTCTAAGGTGCATTCACACTGTACTTCTTCCAAGACAGATTTGTTTGTTCTTCTGGTCATCCATAGTACTTTCCATATTCTTCATCAATACCATAATTCAAATGCATCGATTTTACTATGACATTCCTTATTCATTGTCCAACTTTCACATGCATATGAGACAACTGAAATTACCATGGACTTGGTCAGGGGAACCTTAGTCCTCAAACTGACATCTTTGCTCTTGAACATTTTAAAGACATCTTGTGTGGCAGATTTGCCTAATGAGATGTCCTTTGATTTATTGACTGATACTTCCATGTGCATGGACTGTAAATCCAAACAAAGTGGTCTTTGACAACTTCAATCTTTTCTGCATTTATCATGTTATTTATTGGTCCAGTTATGAGGATTTTTGCTCTTTACACTGAGGTGCAATGCATTCTAGTTTTTTATATTCATTGTTAAGTATTTCAAATTATCTATGCTTCCAGCATGCAAGGTTATGTCATCTGCATATCACAGATTGTTAACAAGTCTTCCTCCAATTCTGATGTCATGCTCTTTAACAAGTATGGTGAAAGGCTATAAAACCCTGGTATACACTATTTCTGATTTTAATTCATACAGTATCTCCCTGTTCCAATGACTGTCTCTTCTTCAACGTACAAACTCCTCATGAGCACAATTATGTGTTCTGGAATGATCATCCTTCGCAATGTTATCCTTAGTTTGCTATGATCCATGTAGTTGAATGTCTTTGCGTAGTAATAAAGCACAAGTAAACATCATTCTGGTACTCTCTACTTTCAGTCAAGATCCATTTGTTATCAGCAACGGTATCCCTAGATCTACATCCTCTTCAGAATCTGGCTTAAATTCTGACAGCTCCCTGACAATATACAGATGAAACTAGTTAGAATATCACCAAAATATTGGAGTATGTAATAAATTCTACTACAACAATATGTGGTACCAGCCATTCATCTCACAGACCTCTCTACTTCTGTTGTGTTAGGTAATCCATTGCAGTGGTCACACCAAACTCAGACAATACTCACTGTTATGGGGTTTATTAGGGGAGTTAACAGGTTATAGTTATTAAGTACCTTCGAGTTGGTTCTGACTCATAGCAACCCTCTGCACAACAGAACAAAACACTGCTCAGTCCTGCACCAGCCTCACAATTGTTGTTACGCTTGAGCCCATTGCTGCTGCCACCATGCCAATCCATCTTATTGGGGGTCTTCCTCTTTTTTTGCTGACCCCCTACTTTTACCAAGCATGTTGACTTTCCCCAGGGACTGGTCCTTCCTTATAATATGTCTTAAGTATGACAGGCAAAGTCTGGCCACATCCCGACTTCCAAGGAGCATTCTGGCTGTACTTCTTCCAACACAGATTTGTTTGTTCTTCTGGCAGTCCATGGTACTTTAAATATTCTTCTTCAACAACATAACTCAAATGCATCAATTCTTTTATGATCTTCCTTAATCGTTGTCCAACTTTCACATGTGCAAAGGCCTACTGAAAATGTCATAGCTTGCGAGGTGTACCTTAGTCATCAAATGGACATCTTTGCTCTTGAACACTTTAAAGATGTCTGTTGCAGCAGATTTGCCCAATGGAATACATTGTTTCCTTGCTGTCACTTCCATGAGTGTTGATAATGGATTCAAGAAAAATGAAATCTTTGACAACTTCATTTTTTTTTTTTTGTCCATTTATCATGATGCTATTTATTGGTCTAGTAGTGAGGATTTTTGTTTTCTTCACATTGAGGTGCAACCCATACTGAAAGCTGTGGTCTTTGATCTTCATCAGTAAGTATTTCAAACCATCTTAACTTTCAGCAAGCAAGATTGTATCATCTGCATATCACAGATTGTTTAACGTTCAGATCAGAAAATGCTCAGGGCACATTTGTTCTAGTCACCTGCTGGTAATTGCCCACAGTACACACCACTCCATCATAAGCCTGAAGACACTGGGCTCTAGCTCTGTGGGTCAGCAAACCTAGCTTCCCCACTTAAATGACTGGAAGAATCTCACTCTGCAAGCAAGCTTCCTGCCCAAAGTCCCTTAACTCTTCTTGCTCCATGGGCTGGGAAGTCTATCGCTCTCTGTCTTGTGCTGATTCTTGGTTCCTCAGTTCCTCCTGCCCACCCCACCCCACCCCACCCAATATATACAAAGAGCACATGCACTGTGGATTTTCTTTGAAGGGGTAAGTTTGTTTTGCCTGTTTCTATATAGAAAACCTTTGTTGGCCTTTAGAATGTAATTTACCAAATGTTGTAGCTGATGTATTTTTGCCACCAATAAAACAAATACATACGACATGAATGCAAACTCATTTTTGCCTTAAGATTTGCTTTAAAATTATTTTATTTGCAGAGAGGGTGAAAATATGAGCTAATTTCTTTCCCCTCTGCCAATGGCAAGCTGATTTTCCTAGCCCACGTGAACAGTTGAGGAGTGAGTCTGGTCTGCAGGTCTCTAGCTTCATGCAATGGTATCTGTGGGTACACATGCACCCAGGCTTGTAAACTGTATGGGGCAAGACGCAATTGGCGTTCCTATTTCTGTTCAATTATGAAGGGTATGTGATGTGAGTTTGCAGCATCAGCCCAAACCCGCTGCCATCTCGGCGACTGGGACCCTATAGAGAGTTGTGAAGGTTGAGAATCCTTAGAGGAACAGAAAGCTTCATCTTTCTCTCCTTAAGCCGCTGGTGGGTTTGAATTGCGACTTTGTGGTTAGCAGTATGGTACTTTGCAGAGTATTATTAATTGCTTCCACATACTCCTCTCTATATTCTGTATTCCTCTCCTCACGTGTGTTCTGAGTGGTGGATATCACACACACACACACACACACACACACGCACACGCAC